CTAAGTTTTGTTTTACCTGAGAATGTGATTTTATAATTCTGAGTTGACTTTTTTCTTTAGCACTTTAAAAATGCTGTTCCATTGTTTTCTGGCCTTCAAAGTTTCTGATGAGAAGTTTAACAGTCTTTTGAATTATTCCTTTGTACATAATGTGTCACTTTTCTCTTGAAAATTTTTCTTTTCATCTTTGGATTTCAGCAGTTTTGCCTAGGCATGGTTTTCTTTGTATTTATACTGCTTAGGGTTCACTGAGCTTCCTGAAAATGTAAATTTGTGTTTTTCATCAAATTTCATATTTTTTGGACATTATTTCTTCAGACATTTTTGTTGTTGCCTACTCTCTCCCTATTCTCCTTCTAGGATGCCAATTATACATATATCAGGCTTTTTTGTATTGTCTGGAAGGTCCCTGATGCTTCATTCGTTTACATTTTCAATCTTTTTTCTATGTGCTCTTCAGATTGGATCATTTCTACTCTACCTCCAAGTTCACTGACTTTTCCTCTAGTATGCCCATTCTGCCATTAAGCCCATAAAGCAAAAATTTTATTTCAGACATTGTATTTTCAATTACAGAATTTTCATTTGATTCTTTTTTTATGGTTTCTACTTTTCTGGTCTTTTCATTCATTAGAAACCTATTTTTCTTGACTCACTGAGAATAGTTACAATAGTTGCTTTAAAATCCTTGTCTTTCAGTTCAACATTTTGGGTCATCTTACATTGATCTCTGCTGATTCCCTTTCTCTTGAGAATAGGTCACATTTTCCTGATTCTTCATATGTCACGGAATTTTGGAATGTATCTTGGACATTGTGCAAGTTATATTATGGAGACTCTGGATTCTGTTATATTCCTCTAATACTTAAAAGGAGTATTAATATTTTTGTTATAGTAAACAGTTAACTTCATGGGAGCCAAACTGCAAAGTCTGTCTCTTGAGTGACATCTCAAAACCACACTTTAGTACTTTCACCTGCTGCCATGCTGTTTAGGGTCAGCACTATAAAGGCATGGTTCAGGCACCCAGTATTGGTTGTCTGTGGTATACAGGCAGCCCCACACAAAAATGAACTATTTTTAGTTCATTAGTTTAATTCATAACTCAGAATGCATTTCTTATACAAATAAACTCTATTACCATAGGTGGTTATATTAACAACCATCAGAAGGTCATTTAACCAATTTGCACACAAATCCAGCTATAATTGTTTATTTACATAAAAGAAAGCAGAGAGTGGCTTGGTTTTCTTTTTTTCATATGATAAAACAACTGGAAAAATCACTTTGATAGTCTATCACTGTGATAGTCTCTCCACATGGGCTCGCAGTGGTTGTCCCTTTCCATCAGTCACTCCCCATGAAGTCTCCTCCTACCATAAATAGGTGTGATATATAATCAATAGAATATAACAAAATTAACCATATGTGGCTTTGAGACTAGGTCATAAAACACAGTTCCATGCTTTATAGTTCCATCACTTTCTCTCTTAGGTGTTTATTATTTGACTTACAGTTATTTTTGTATATTGAGATAAATGTCTAAATTGTCTTCATCTTTCCCACAATTCCTAGCATGGTGCCAAATTGCTAGTTAAAGCTCAATAATGATTTGACAAACAAACATATGATAAGAAGGAGCTAACTTTGTTCACATTTCCATGAATATCAAAGATAATTTTGTGAGACTTCAGAGATTTTTTGAAAGTGTGCAACCTTTGTTATTTGCTATTTTTATTCCTGTTTATAAGTTTTATACCCCATTCTCTCTATTCTCTCTCTGAGATGTGAATTATATACATATATGAGACTGGTCCCTAAAACTGTGTTCATTTTGCTCTGTTGTTGCTCTAATCCTCTCAGACTTAATCTAAAAAGGGTACTGCAATTGTTTCAGAGATAGTGCTGTAGAGCAGAAACTACTGTGTTCTTACATCCCAGGCACACATCTGGGCAGAAGCAACATATGATAGCAGTGGAGAGCTAAGTGGGCTGATCCTTCAGATCTCAGCTTAAATATCATCTCCCTAAAGAGAACTAGCACCAAGTTTGCTCAATTATTTACTGTTCATTTGGCTCCCTGGCTATTTTATAAGGTCCGTGAGGGCAGTTTCTGCATAGTTTTGCTCATTGCTGTATAGTCATTATCTAGACAGTGACTGAACAGAGTTGTTGCTCAATAAATGCTCATTCAATGAACAACTGAACCAAGGTTCTTGTTCAGAATCAGGAAGCACACTTTCTAGGCCTCAAATCCATTCATGCCTTTTATATTAGATTTTTCTCAGAATCTTGTTCTGCCCCTTCCCTTCCTTTTCTCTAGGCTAAGGCCACTCTGACTCGGAATGGGGGAGTCCCTTTTCACATATTCAACAGAATAAAGAGAGAGAAAAAAGGAGACCCTTAATTCTGTTGTCAAGGCTTCAGCAGTTACCATCTATTAGAATTCTGAATACGTTTTGCCATAGAAATATTGTGTAAGTAAGTATAATTTTTGAGGTGCAAAACAGTTTAAATGACCTTTTAATGAGCTGGCTTAGGAATATAATGACTGGAATTGTTCCTATAAAAAATGCATTCTGAGTTTTGATTTAAACGAACAGACTAAGAATGCCTTTTGGATCACAGTCCATTTGTAAGTGGGACTGCTTATACCCCCAATACTACTAATATTAGAAAACTGGTTGTTTGATGTATGTGGGTTAGCAGCAAGAAGATTCTGAACATAAAGTGGGCATTCAACATATACTTCCTGGTTCATTCATTCATTGGTCATTCTCATGACAAATAGCAAGTGAGCTATTAGCAGTTCATATCATATGGCAAAAATTCAGCTGGTAACTTACAGAGATGAAGCTAAGATATATGTCGATAACAGTTACATATTATAACATGCTCACTGTAAGGGCTTGGCATGGGCTGGGGATCAAGGGCTGGGGGCTGCTAGGAAGATAGTGTGGATGAGCAACAATGAGTGGAAGCCATGAACAAGCTTCTCCTAAATTGCATGATCAAAGTAATGCAATTATGGTCAAAGTCAAACACACATTTTTTTTTTTTTTTTTAAAAGATGACTGGTAAGGGGATCTCAACCCTTGGCTTGGTGTTGTCAGCACCACGCTCAGCCAGTGAGCAAACCGGCCATCCCATATATGGGATCCGAACCTGTGGCCTTGGTGTTATCAACACCGCACTCTACCGAGTGAGCCACAGGCCGGACCCAAACACACATTTTTTATCATATGTCTTCAGCTGATGAATTGGGTAATTTTTTGGACTCATGTTCAGGTAAACATAATTTGTTCTTCAAAAGAAAATCTGGTTGATAGTATCCTATTAATAATAATTTTCTTTATTTCTTTATTATTACTAACAAGAAACTTTAATTAAAAAAATGTAGACTATTAGCTAATGATACCTCTATTTTTCCCTACCATTTATTATCTCAAAGATTTGAAGCTCTCATAAAATTCACTACCACTGCTATCAGATACCAAGTCAAAGGTTAAAAAGTATATCTCTATGCAGCACAAATAGAACTTTCTGGCAGTTAATAATCTCCATATCTAAACATCAAAGTAGAAAGCTCTTTATCGTCAATAAAAACTATTCCTTAATCGTGGTAGAGACTTAGATCACATTTCAGTGCAGTCTCTAAAGGTTTTGGTGAGAGAAAAAGTGCCTTCAGCTTTGCAGCTTGCTTGTGTCATTCTATGTATCAAGGTGATTCGGGACATTTTACTCACCACTTGGAAGAATTAGGCTGTATTAAAGATCCTTTAAGAACTCCTTAGGATTAACGACTGTGTAGTATCATATTCATGACATAATCAGTTGTAGAAAAATCACTAGGCTGAAAAACTCTACCACACATTCTATTATCTCTGCTTCACAGAAGGTTCTGGAATACATCTCTCAGCTTGGATTTCATCAGCCTGTATAAGAGCTGAACTCATCTAGGGCTTTCCCGAGATAACAACTGTACAACTTTTCCTAAGGGAAGGCCACTACTCGTAGGACTGCCCTCTCTAGAGCAAATGCAGCTCACTGTCCATCCCTGGAGCCATGCCAACGGGGAATGGCTGTCCTCTGCATGTAAGCTTATTGTCATCCCTCTTCTTGACAAAACTACATAGAGTATGAGCCAGGTTATGCAGGATGTTGGGAATTAGAAGGGGAGAATCAAACACGGTGGATAGTTAGTTTCAAAGGTGTTCCTTTGGCTGCTTTAGTGGGGAAAATAAGGCCAGTCAAAAGTGGGTTCTGGTAGTCAAGTGGTCCTATCTTAACTCCAGACCGCTTTGGAAACACTTTAAGGTGGTTCTGTCCCAGTGTTATGGAAGCAGCAGCTGAAACCATCTTTCTAGAAGCCTGACAGAGAAGCAGATTATTGCTGCTCTGAAAACAAAAGCCTGTCACTTCCCATTAACTGAAATATCCACTTTGGTTGCTAGAATCACAATTTGTATTGAAGAACTATTTCAAATGGTGAGTTCTAAACATTTCCAATTAGTAAAATCCTAGATACTAGGGCCGTTACTGTAGTAAAGTTGTCATTGCAATGGAGTTCAAAGAAACCGTTTAAATTAATGCTGGTTCCTCCACTCCCTGTGACTGGAACCACTGAATTTATAATAATACATGTGGCAATGTATACATATATCAAATCATCACATTGTACACATTAAATATATATAATTTTATATGTTATTTACTCCTCAGTAAAGCTGGGGAAAAAATAAAGTTGTTTACTTCCATAGCAAAACAAAAAAGGTACATGTGGATTCATTTTTCTTCTGACTGAAAGACAATAAACAACTTACTGACTGAACACATTGCTTATGAACTAAACCCAACATGCAATACTCTACATTGCTTACCCAACATTCATCACTCTTAAGGATATTTGGCTTAGTATATTAAGGTCAAAGACAAAACTGAGCATAATTATCAAAAGTAGTCCATCTCTTTTTGAGTCCAAAATGTGAAGTCCGCCTTACCCACTGCACCCGATGACTTTATTGTACAGGTAAGATGGCAAGCCTTTCAGGTGAATGTTGTTATCCACATACACATATTGGAGTTCTCGAGATCGCCCTAAATCTGGATTAGAAAGAAAAGTGCTATCATTCCTGTAAATAGGCACCATTATAATGTGAAATATAAAATTTAATACATAATATTAGAAATACTCAAAAATGTCTATCCTGGAAGAAACAATGTTGTAGGTTTAACTCTGAGTGTGAAATTATGTCGGCTGCAATATTAGATTCTGCATCAGAAAACATGAGTGTAGAAAAATTACTTAACTAATCTAGACCTTGATTTCTTAAACTGTAAAATGAGATAAGTAGGACTAGAAAAATCATTAAATTTCCTTCCCACATAAAAATTCTATGATGTTTTACAGACTATTTCAACTTAAGTTTGCTGTGGATCATTTATTTTCATTTTTCCCCACAGAAACTTTAGACAAAATCCTGAAACTTCTCCTAGGCTCATCTGTGTATTTTCTTGTAAAGTCCAGCTTTAGCAAAGAACCCTGCTAAGTGAGTTTAGCAAGAACCCCACACCCTCAATATCTGATCAGATTCTTCATCCTTCACCATTCCCTAGGTGATGTTTGATCACCCTGGCCTGTCTGCTGTAAGGTCAGTTTGGCCAGAATATCTCCTTACTCCTGATGTTTCCTCTTAGAGATCTATCCACTGACCCCCACCCTGCTCCTTGACTATAAATTTCCACTTGCCTATGCTGTGGTCAGAGTTGGCTCAATCTCTTTCCCCCACTGCAAGACCCCATTGCAGTGGTCCCTGTACTTACAGTGATGGTTCTGAATAAAGTCAGTCTTTTCCTTGATATAGGAAAATCCTTGGCAGAAAGATGGAAGGTGGGTGAGGGAGGGCTAGGGATCAGCCTCTGGCTGTGCTGGGGTCTAAGGAGCCAGGCAGATGTGGGAATGGACAGAACTGCCCCTTGGCCACAGGGTGAGAAAGAAGTGAAGCAGAACCCAAATCCTAGTCCTCAGTGAGGTGAGAAGTGGAGTAAACAAGCCCTGTGGGGCAGTGAGCAGGGGCTAGAATGGGTATGTACCTGGAATGGAAGAATGAGAAAGGGGACCCGAAAAGAAGGGTCTACAACAGGAACAGGAACACAAGAGGCAGAACTCAGATTATTTCCCATTATAGAAATAGCAGGGCAACGGGGGCAGCAAAGACTGGAAGAGGATTCAGTGAGGAAATAAGGCTCAGCTCGGAGTACCGAGGGCGATCTCCAGCCAGTACAGCAGCAGGGACACTTCCAAGTGTGCAGCCATCCCTTCCTTCCCAGGAGCCCAGGAATGTTCCACTAGTCTTCTTTCTTCTCCTAGCACTCACTGAGTAGGTCTATTTGTCTTTATAGTCATAGAGTCACACAACAGAGCTTCAGGAGCCATGCTAGCCCTCTCCTCCCTAAAGTGAGAACATCATCTTTGAAAGGTTTCCTAGGGTTCTGCTTGTGGAAACAGGAAATAGGTCTGAGGAGATCTTTCTTCAGTTTAGGAAAGACAAAGGCTCAGATAGGTGAATTAGGAAGTTCTAAGATTCATTTACATTTCAAAAGATAACCCATTTACCCATTAAGGACCTTTTAGGCAGTGTGCTAGGCCTTGGGGATATAGATATGAATACTGCATTAATAGATGTGAACACAGACATGAAAAATGATAACTGTAATACAATATGATCACTGCTATTAGAGAGGCCTGTGTGAAGTCTTATGGCTCACAGATGGGTTCTGGACAATTTGATACAGAATTAACTGAAATTCTTCTGTAAGGAAGAGTTGTCCCTTCTCTCTCATTTATTTGTTTAATTTTTATGTTAGTCTGGATTCATGAATATTTATTTTTTGTAAGGGGTAAAAACCCAATTCCATTATAATTTATTTGTGTTGGTCAAAATATTTCAGTTTTGGGGGCCGGCCCGGTGGCGCACTGCTGCAGTGCGCCGCTTGGGAGCGCTGAGGCGCTCCCGCCAAGGGTTCGGATCCCACATACAGACCGGTTCCCGCTCACGGGCTGAGCGAGGGGTGGGGGCAACACCGAGGGTTGCAATCCCGTTGCCGGTCCGGTACGGGCGCAACACTGAGGGTTGCGATCAGTTGCCGGACACGAAAAAAAAGACAAAAAAAGGAAAAAAAAAAAAAAATTTCAGTTTTGGTAATTAGAAGCAATTGTGCAATTTTGAGTTGGTGCTTATGTTCTTTCAACAAGTCTTCATCCTTTTTTGAGCACTTCCGGACATTCTGGCACCAGGAGATATTTCAGGCTCAGAAATAAATTTAACTAAGGAGATGAAAGATTTGTATACTGAAAACTACAGAACACTGATGAAAGAAACTAAAGAAGACACAAATATTCAGTGTTCATGGGTGGGAAGAGTTAATATTGTTAAAATGTCCATACTACATACTATAATACACAGGTTTAATGCAATCTCTATCAAAATTCTGATAGCATTCTTCACAGAAATAGAAAAAGCAATCTTAGAATTCATGAGGAACCACAAATAAAACCAAGTAGCCAAAGCAATACTGAGAAAGAAAAACAAAGTTGGAGGCATCATACTTCCTGACTTAAAATTATATTACAAAGCAATAGTAATCAAAACAGCATTACGCTGGCATAAAAACAGACACATAGACCAATGGAACAGAATAGAGAGCCTGGAAATAAATCCAAACATATACAGTCAACTAATTTTTCACAAGTGCATCAAGAGAACACAATGGGGAGTGGATAGTCTCTTCAATACACAGTGCTGGGAAAACTGGATTTCCACATCCAAAAGATGAAATTGGACTCTTATCTTACACCATATACAAAAATTAACTCAAAATGGATAAAAGACCTGAAACCATAAAACTCCTAGAAGAGAACATAGGAGGAAAGCTCCTTGACACTGGCCTTGGCAATGATTTTTTGGATATCATGCCAAAGGCTCAGACTCCAAAAACAAAAATAAATAAATGGGACTACATCAAACTAAAAGCTTCTGCACAGCAAAGAAAAACAGTCAACAAAATGAAAAAGGCAGCCTATGGAGTGAGAAAAAATAATTGAATACCACATATCTGATAAGGAGTTAATATCCAAAATCTATAAAGAACTCTTACAACTCAATAAAAGAAAAACAAATAACCCAATTTTAAAATGGGCAAAGCACCTAAGCAAACATTTCTCCAAAGAAGATATAAAAATAGCCAACAGATGTATGAAAAAGGTGCTCAACGCTATTAATGATAAGGAAAATTCAAATTAAAACCACTATGACATATTACCACACACCTGTAAGGATAGCAATTATCAAAATGAAATTGGTAATGGTTTTAATGAAAATATTTTTGGTGAGTTTGCTTCTATTAAAGACAGAAAAGTAAACTTATAATAAGTTCTACCTTTGGTATAAATAAAATATTTAAACTTAGAATGATGTAAAGTTTCAATATGCCTACTTTCAATTTTTGATATTTTTCAAGTACTTTAATGCTCTAAAAAAAAATTAATGTTCTAGAAAAAAAATCATGGGAGTGCAGTTTTCCTTTTGCCTAAGGCCCCAAATGTTTCAACATGGCACTGCCAGATCTTGTCTTCAATCAAAATTTTAATATTTTGTTTGCCACAGATTTCTCTGCATTAATTTGTATCTCTGAAAGTATTATATTAAAATATGATTTATATTAAGAAAATAATAAAAGAGAACACTAATACAGAAGAGGTGTGTCACTGAAAAATTAGCACACTGTGGGGGGTGGGAGATAAAAAGGCCAAGTGTCTATTCTTTTTTTTTTTTTTTTTTTTTCCTTTTTATCTTTTTTCGTGACCGGCAATGGATCGCAACCCTCAGTGTCGCGCCCATACCGGACCGGGACCAGCAACGGGATCGCAACCCTCAGCGTTGCGCCCGCACCTCGCTCAGCCAGTGAGCGGCCGGTCTGTATGTGGGATCCGAACCCTCGGCGGGAGCGCCGCCACGCTCCCAAGCGGCGCACTGCAGCAGTGCGCCACCGGGCAGGCCCACCAAGTGTCTATTCTTTCACCTACTATCCATGTGAGCAAAGCCTCAGTTTGTGTATATGTTAAATGGCCTAACAGTATGTGGTCCTTCAACCTTATCTGGTTGCAATGATTTCTGAATGTGAAAGAAATCTGTGAAATTTAAATCACTATATGTTTTTTAAGCACCAGGATATAGAATTACCAAAATCTTGTATACTTCTACTTTAGTAAACATATATAGACATACAAAACATAGATGGGAAAAATATAAACACCAGAATCCATTTGCCATGTAAAAGGCCTCAAAATTATACTAAGAATTCCTATTTTGAATTTCTTTGCTACTTCTCTGATATGCATATGAATGCTTTAATCACAAATAGAAATTTGCAGACTAAAGGCATATAGAAAACTTAGAAATACATTTTTAAAAAATGAAACTGCATTGATAAAATGCAAATGATCTCTGGTCTCAGGTTTTCCTTTCAAAGCCCCTATGGGGCTCAAGGAAAGATTCCTTACTGGGATTTCTGCAGTGGGAAAGAAGGGGTAGCATCCTAATGAAAAGAACAAGAGCACAGTCTGGGAGTCAGACAACCTGGGTCTGAATGCTCATTCTACTTACAAGGTGTGTGGCCTTAGTTTACTCATCTGTATAATGAAAAAAATAATGTCCCTTTAGTGAGAATTACTAACAAAGTTTATAAGCTATCAAGCAGAATTCTTGGCACACAGCCTTCTCCAATACATGGCAGTTACAGTGACATATTTGGAAGTGTGGCCTACAGTAGAAGGCCAAGTAAGAGAGAATTCTCTTTGGCATGCAGCAAATGGTACTAGCACTTTTCTATTCTTTAATTGCACAGTAAAGAGTCAGAGGTAACAGCCTCTAGAGTCAGTGATTTATCCCCTCAAGCCAAGGACACAAAATGGGACATGACAGAGGAAGCACCTCTCTCCTCTAATACATTGCAAAAGAGCCTGCACACATTAAATGAGGTGACACACAAAGATCATATTACAAAGTTAAATGAAAGTTGACACTTGCTACACACATAGTTTA